GAGAGAGAGAGAGAGAGAGAGAGAGAGAGAGAGAGAGAGACCTGCAGTATGCAGCATGTCAGTGGTGGGGAGCACAAGGCAAAAAAAAAAAAAAGAGAAAGTAATATCCTTTCCGAATACAACAGCTTTACCGTTTTGAAATTCGAATAGAAAAGATACTTGTTGTATTCGAGTACAACGTGAAGTACCCTTCTATTTGAGAAAAGTGGACCCATGTGACGTTCAACCTCATGCCCTGTGCTGTCTTCCGGTCGGAGTGATGAATTGTGCAGAATAGGCCTTGAAAGAACAGCAAAATGGTGTGTGCCAAGGTTATTTGGGAAATTGAGTGTGGGGACACATATGGGACTGAAATCCCCAATGTGGTTCCGGTTTAGTGAGAAATGGTCATCGCCACACGGGAAGGGAACAGGCGCGCACAATTTTCAAACATCTATCTAATCCAAAAAGTATCGATGAATCTCCATGCGAGCTACTCGTCATCTTTTAGAATGGAAGGGTGCAGGTACGCACGTAGGATCTCGTTTTCAAATCAGATCCCGGCGACGCTCGTTACAGAGTTCGGAATCCGGCATTGATAGCCTCAGCCTGGTCGCTCGCTAGTTGTGTTCGTCTTTGCCACGTGTCTGGTAGTGGACCCCCCTTTTCCGATAGCGCGCAGCGCTGCGACAATCGCTACACAAAGTGTTGGGCCAATGGGGTGCCACCGTCGTCCACAGTTAAAAGGCAATTTAGTACGGAGGAAAACGAGTATCGATGATGACAAAATCAGCGCCTACGAATCCGGAGCACCTCGTTTGGGAAGAAAAATAGTAGCGCTCGTCAATCTTAGCGACGGCTTCTCGTACGTCTCACTCGCGTACAAGTGTTCTTTCCTCATTATACGGGAACGGTCGTGGTGGGGATACCAGAAGTCGATGCCTAGTCGGATAGGCATAAGCAAAACTGATTGCATTTGTCTAATCGGTCTAGTCTTTCAATCACAGGAATAAGCCGGCACAACACTATGCCCTATCTACCATACATTATGCAAGCCAATCCAATCAAAAGGATGATCGTCATACATTCGTGCGAGCATGCATTGTATCGGAATCTTAATTCGTGACGGTTCAATCAATACACACATGTAAGGTATTACTCTTGCATACACCGTCACATACTATGAAGCAAAAAAAAGGGCGAGGCAAGATCTCGTGAGCTTGCTGGTCTCTCAAATTCGACGATACTCGTCCTTGCAAGATCCGATTAATTTCCATGAGGCGAGCATGACAAAATCTCGGGGGCTGGTAGGAACGTGCGAGTTATCGAAACTTTCATACATTCATGACGAACATACCAAAAGGAAGAGAGAGAGCACAAATTAAATGATATTTTTCCACATATGCAATTGTCGTCTCTCGGGTGGTCTCATATAATTCTTGCTTATCAGGAGGGTCAGTAACAACTATTGGCTCCGACGAGGAAGGTGTTGGTTCCGCCATCTCGTTATTTTTCTTCAGCATTCATTGAACACGTTGATAGGTAAACTGCTTCTGATTCTTTTGACATTGCTGAATGAGCTTGTCGTTTGCAATCTCGAAAATGGTCAATAGGTGACCAACCGGAACAGGGACTCGAATATCCATTTTTTTTAACGTTTGCAAACATCAATCTTTCCTGTCCGGAACTAAGGACCAGGTTGCGACTCGTGTTTTACCCATTCAAGCTCATCTTTATTAGGCCGAATATCTTCAATCAAGCCTGCCAACTGGAGATATTCAGTCGGATCGACGACATCTGCAGCTTCAAAGGAAGCTTCATAGGTTGATGCAGTCGCTTCGGATGGAGAAGGAGAGAGGGAAAAGGGAAAACTATTTCCTTGTTCTCTTATTCCTTCAAGTATCGGTGTCGAGCGTATCGGCTCCCGCCTGTTTCGCAAAGGCGAGAGCCCTCTCGGTCATGTCACGCAGGAGTAAAACACTACAAAAACAGAGACAACTCTGGAACGACGTAAAGTATCCCGCGAGCCGCCGAGACGGTCGCGGTGTCGAGCGCATCGGCCCCCGCGCGAGCGAGGGCCCTCCCGGCCACGTCACGCAGGAGAAACTTAGCTTTCCAACTTTTTAGAGATAGCTTGGGGACAACACGGTAACCCGCATCGACCCGTCGCCGCTCCGGCCGAGTGCGCCAGCTGTACATCCCGCGGTCCCCTACGACAGGACAGGTTCTCGCGGGGCACAACTTACCTTCCCTAAGGGGTTGTCACCACCCTTAGGGGCGTATCCCCACCGAGCTATCGACCCACATGCGAAAGCTTTTATAATGCAGTTGCAGAGGTAGGGCGGCCGAGGGCGTTTGCTCGTTCGCTGTAGCATAGGTACACATGGTTAAACGCCAAAGAGGACCCGAACGTCGTCTGTCCCTGGGGCGCTGATCTCCCAGGAATCGGACCGACGTCGGTCGACTAGGACGTGATGTTCCAAGCGTAAGGAAGACTTCTAGCGATCCTAGTCCCTTCTTTCGAAGACAATCAAGAGTCACTCAGACAAACCCTTTCAAAAAAAAAAAGACTCAGGTCAACGCAAGTTGACTTATCTTCCAAAATCAACTTATATGTAATACAATCATACATACGACAAAGGTTGACTTGGCTTCAAACAACACCTATCAATAAAAGCTCAAAACATGACCAATACACAAGGCGACACTCAAGTGACGTCTGACTAAAATATCTTCACTCTGCCTGCCAGACGGCTGGACCGTCACGACTTTTTCGACTGGATGAGATGCGTTGCCAAGTTTTTTCATTCCGCTCCATATTCACTGCTAGCACGAAATATGAGCGCCCCAACTCTCAAGCAGAGTTAGAGTGTCATTGTTTTAATGATGACTTCACACTTTTCCTCTAACTTAGGTGTGAATACCATTTGCAAATAACTCGGCTACCATCTATACAAATCAGCGATCAGCTCGAACAATCGAACGCTTGATGCCCTATTAAGGTCAGCGATCCACCTTCAAACTTTGTCGGTCGCTCTGTCCTCCTGGACAATAATTACTCTCTCTGTTCCAAAGTACCAGCTTTCGACATGAAGACATTTACAGCAATACTCTATTCACATCTTCCCGTCAACTAGTCTGATCACCTCAGGTTTGCACTTCTTATGGTGCAACCCTATCTGCGAAGATAGTGCCTAGTCGCACTCCGTTCATAGCTAGTGAAGACACGAACTGGGCTTCTTATGGCGTCAGTTCTCCATTCGTCTGTGGCTCCTAAGACGGCCACAAAGGGTAAACTATGATGGTCCTCCTTAGCGCAAGCCGACAATGACTTAACGTCTTCCGTGAATAGCGCATGTTCATCCCCTAGGAGGTGGTCTGGGATACCCCTAGTCCTCACCCGAGTGAACCTCGGATCTCAGAAGTCGGCCCGGCTCCGCCACAACAGCATGGTATCCCCCCGCGGTGCGGTCCACTCCGAGTCGATCACAGGGCCGGCCCCTAAGGCAATGAACCCCCGCCTCAGATGCCTCCTCGGGAAAGGAAACGCCTCTACCACAGCATACGATCAACCCCTTGCCGCCTGACGTCAAGGTGAACCTAGATGAAGAAGAAGATCACAGAGAAGGAAAGCATTCAGACATACAGTCATAGACAAAGGTGGTCATTCGGTAAAGAATGGGTAACATCTGGAACGAGTCCATGTCCGATTAAGTTTCTTTTATTTGTGAGTGTGATCGTTCTTTTTATTGTCGTCAACCGATTTTCTCCCTTGTGACGAACATGCAAACAAGAGATAGAACAC